TTAATTAATTAATTAATTAATTAAATAAGACTATAATTTTAAGAATTACTTCATGTGATCTAGTGATCTAAAGCTAGTTGTAGGATGATCGTATCCATTTTTAAGCCTGACTATAATTAATTGTCGGTTCAATTATTCATTTTTTAATTAATAATTAATTGGACCACAAATATTTTTGTTTCTTTTGGGAGTGACTAATGTCATTTTCTAACTTATATTATGTATTTATGGGCGAATTTTTAAGAGCAAGTTTGAAAAGATTATAAATAAGGGATTGTTCTCATACGTTTATTTTCAGTTCAATTCAGTTCAGCTTTTAATTTCCTTCTCTTATAAAATATTCATTTCACCTCAGTTCAGTTCAGTTCAGCTAAGTTCAGTCTATGAGAACAGACCCTAAGAGTAATGCTATTTGTAGCCATTAGGGTTGTGAATAAGCAATTCAAATCTTTTCTAATTTGGTATTCGTATTAAGTTAGGATTGCATGATGATGACAAAATCACGCCAAATCACTGTAATTAATGTTATATTTTTTCATTTTTTTCTTAAAAAATTCTTACATACAGCCCTAAGAAATATGTATAGCATTTTTCTATTAATTATTAGGAAAACGCGCGTGATTGAATACGGGTTGTTAATGGATTGAAGATTTTATAAATATTTGATAGTATAAGTTTACACCTTTTTTATTTAGGAGTGTCGACTTTATTTTCTAATTTTTTTGTCGATATCTTTAATGTTATCTTATGGTGTTGTACATTAATAAGAGTAAAAAGAAATTTTAATTAGGAAACGAGAGAATTTGATTTCTGGATCTCCATGTCAACAATCATCACTTCCATATTTAGAGCCTATTCTGTTCAGCTTAATTTCAACTTAGTTTAATTCAGCTCCAATCAGTTCAACTCAGTTCAGTTCAGTTCCTAATTTCCTTTTCTCATAAACAATTCATTTCAACTCTATTCACTTCAGTTCAACCCCAATCGGTTCAGTTCAGTCCAGTTCAGTCGTTTTCAGTTTATCGAAACAGACCTTTAATGTCACGAAAATTGTATAAAATTGTTATTCATAGGTTTTGGTTTTCGTTTAAACTTTCCTCTTCAATAAATGAACGAGTCTTTGTCAAAAATAAATAAATAAATAAATAAATAAATAAAAGAATGAGTCACTGCCCCATTTGTTTTTTTTTGAGGTGTCGAAAGGTGGAACACTTCATGACCAATAGCTTGGCTAATTAAACAACCCAATCCAATAGTTGTTGAGTGAGTAAACTCTTATGGAGTAATTATACTATGAGTAACCCAATCCAATCCAATACAATGGTTGTATATGTATCAGCTCTCCTCATAAATGAATTTTTTTTATTACTATCGTAGTTGAATTTTAATTATGATTATTAAAACGTTAAATCAATTTCAAATTCATCATTTAGTGTGTACTCCATATTTGTTAATGTATTTAATTTTAGGAAATTTTAGAAAATAACACCACAAAAAAACCCAAATTTTGATTAAAACACCACAACAACAAAAAAAAAAAAACTTTTGTAATAACACCACAAAAAACCTCGAATTTTTTATTTCACCACCTATTACTAACGCAATCCAGAAAACTGTTAATGGACCCCACATTATACACGTGGCAGTAATCTATTGGATTAAAAAAATGAAAAAATTAAAAAAAAAAATTAAAACCCAAAAACCCTAACCCAGCCACCACCTTCACCACCGGCGCCGATTCCCCCTATCCCACCACCGTCACCCTAACCCCCACTGCCGGCTCCCTCATACGACCACTCTCGACTGACGAAATCCGCCAAGCCGACCACCTGAACATAGACGCACCACACTGTACCCAACCCTAGCCTAGCCACCAAGCCCACCACTGACGTTCACCCCCATCCTCCTTAACCAACCCCAAAAGTCTATCGTCCACCAGACGTACCGATTAACCCAGCCCGCAACTCCCCTTACCCTAGCTACCACTGAAAACGACCACTTCCAGTTGAAATCGGCCGGTTTAGGGCCGAAGTGGTCAAAATCGACCCTAAAGTAGCCAATCTCAACCGCTAATAGCTATTCCGGTGGCTGGGAAGTGCGAATTCGACTTGGTGTTGTTGGAGCCGTGAGGCAAGGCGAAGCTACGGTGGTTTTTGGGGAGGGGCAGGAGAGGGTTTCGCCGGTTTAGGTGGGGCAGGGGTGCCGACGGCTGGTGTTAGGCTGTTGGTGGTGGGGGACGTACAGGTGCAGAGGTGCTGCCGATAGGGATGGCAATGGGGCGGGTCGGATGCGGATGATGGTACTTCCATACCCATACCCGCCTAAAAATCTTATACCCATCCCCACCCCAACACCCGTGGCGGGTACAATATCCACATCCATACTCGCCCCATCGGGTACAAGATAAGATCCATCCCCGCCCCATCACCCACTTGGATATTCTTACCCACCTCATACCCGCCCCAAAATCGTCCCAAACCCTTTGCCATGGTGCTCTATTGTATCACATTAATGACGATTATATCAAATTAGGTAGAGAAAATTGGGACTATCACTATTCAAGCTTATTGGGTTTTAGGGGATATCAAGTTTCATAAATTCTCAACTCTTGTAAAAGAAATATGGTGCGGGTATAAGGTGGGTACGGGGCGGGGTGGATATGGGGCGGGTCTACTCTAAAATCCATACCCGTCCCATCACTCATGGCGGGTACACATTTTATACCCATCCCCGCCCCATCACCCGCCAAACCTTCCTCTATCCCCGCCCCACTTGGGCGGGGATGGGGCGGGTCTCCCATTTAACCCGACCCACTGCCATCCCTAGCTGTCGGTGGTGCAGTGGGCTGGGTTAGGTTGTTTAGGGTTTTTTATTTTTAATTTTTCTTTATTTTTAATTATAATTTTTTAAAAACCAATAAGTTATTGACACGTGTCTGTTATGGGCTCCACTAACGGATTTCATCTACGAATCTGTTAAGTGGTGGTGAAATCAAATTTTAGGATTTTTATGTGGTGTTATAATTAAAAAAAAAAAATTTGTTGTGGTGTTATAATAATAAAAAAAAATTGTTGTGGTGTTATAATCAAAATTAAATTTGGGTTTTTTTGTGGTGTTATTTTCTAAAATTTCCTTAATTTTATTATAATGAACGCACAAGTAATTAAAGAAACAAGTAAGAATTCATAATTTATTAGTGTACTCCATATAATGAACCCACAAATAATTAAAGAAATCAACAAGTAAGAATTCTTATTAATCTTGAGGTAAATACATATTACAAGAGTGCATCTAGACGCATAGGGGCTATGTATTTGGCATGGACATAGGAAGACAATCTGGGGTTTTGTGGTACATTTTCTCTCTTGTTTTATTACAGTGGTACATTTTTGTGTATTACTATACATGTATAATATACTATTAAAATACAGGTTGTTTGAATAGTATTTTTAATGTACTATTATGCTTATAGTGATACTTTTTGTCATCATATTTTTCACCTTCAGGTTCCCATTATATACAAAAATGTCATCCTTTTTTTCATTTTTAATACATAGAGCCTATCCGCCAAGAGTTTTCCCATATTAGAATTTACTCCATCTTTGGGTTAAGGTCTAGCGCATAGCTCTTATATGCAAACATTGCATATTGGATGACAATGTAGTAATAAAGTTGAAGTAATAAAATCACCTAAGCTTATATCATACATATTTGAAGTTGCAGTGGAAGTATAAAGTACCATTTAATAGATAAACTAGTGTTTAGCCCGGGCGATGCCCCGGATCTATACGTTAAATATTTTTTACTTGGAATTATAGTTTTCTTGTATTATAATAATCTTAAATACTTTTATTATAGATTTAGATTAAGAAAATAATTTGTATAAAACAAAAATCTCATGCCATACACTAACTATATTCAAGAAGAATAAATAAAACAAAAGTATTAGATAGTAAAGATGGTATGACTTTTTATCTATTTTCTAATGAACTTGAGTTCACATAAGCATTTTCTAAGTTGATATGTTCCAATTCTCCTTGGTGACGTGGCATGTTCTTAGTATAAAATATTACTCTGTATACTACTGTGAGATATAATAGTATTATTAAGATATACATGGTACATTGGTACATTATACATGTATAAATGTATAATAGTTTAAAATTATACCACTGAAATAATAAAAAATATCATTCTGAATGCGCTTTTCCACTTTTGCCCTCCTATATGCAACAAATGCATATAGGGACTGCGACAAGATGCACTTGGAAAAATAGTATACTCACCAAAGTTATGCCACACTTTTGGAATAGGTTACATTGCATCCTATGAAGTTTCCATAGTGGGTGTACGACAGTATGAGAACAAAATGCGTCGGTTTAAGGGATTAATAATTGGTTTTCAATGCACATTTCGTGATCATAAGCTTTACTTCAATAATAAGGGTTGTAGTGTTGGTAAACAAATTGATAAGTGAAAGAACGATCGGAAATAAACCCAACATTTTAAGACTCACACATTGAATTACTAGAGTATAAACATTACATCATGTGACAAACAAAGTACAAAAATACTAGAATGCATTAAGAAAAAGTAAAAATTACTCATATTTTAAATATGTACGTAATCTATGCATATATATATATATATATATATATATATATATATATATATATATATATATATTCAAAGATAAGATGAAAGACCCTACTGAACCAGCATCTCTCATAGGTTTAGCCAGCCTAACTCCGGCGCTCCACAGGTCGATGCTTAAGATTAGAGGGGGCATGTAAAGGAAATCCCTCTACTTCCAAGCATTTAGTAGATAAATGGGTTTAAATTTATGACCTTAAATTCACAACGTGAGTTTTCCACGAAATCCGCCAAGCTTTGCTTGATATCTACGTATAATTTGAATGAAAACGGAACGTAAATACAACTTTAAACGCGCCTTCACTAAACTACACTGATATAATAATATAAGAAATGATAATCGTACTAACTTCCACGTAAACCAAACAATTCTCACACTTGAGTCTCTCCAGTCGGTACATTGTTTGCTGGTCTTCGTCATTTAGCACATTATACCCAAACCAAACCCTTCATTTTCTCTCTCCTCCACTTTCTGTAAAAAATTTAACTACACTATTCAACTCTTCTTCTTCTAGTTAAATTCAAATTTGTTTTTTTAAAAAAAAAACCCAGAAAACCACATGTACTTTAGCTCTCCCACAAGATCTGTCCCTCCTCTTATTCTCTCTTCAACTTTTTGTTTTTCTGTCTAATTTAACCGGATTTTCCCAGGTACCCTTTTTTTTTCAGTTTTATTTTCCATTTTCAGACACTTAAATTGCTGAAAACAATCCCAATTTTATTGGGTATCTTCCCAATTTGCTTATGAATTGAAATACTCTTTTTGGTTTTTGTTGAAGCATTTGAGTCTTTTCAATGAATTTAGCAAAAATACCCATTTCATGAATTTGAGTGATTTTGAATTTTTAGTAGCATTTCCTTTTTTGGGAGTTGAGTGTTTATTAGATCTGGGATTTTATCTTCAGTTGTTACCAATTTTAGAATTTGATTTTTTAATAAAATACCCAAAAAAATGAAGAAATTTATTTAAATTTTGTTTGAATTTGTTGCACTAACAATGCATTTATTTGATACCCATTTCAGTTTTTTTTGGCGGTGTTGATATCTAAACTTCTTCAAATCGTTGAAAAATGGATTATGTCACATTTCGAATTTTGCCAGAAAACAGGTCAGATTTGTTCATCAATTTTCTGCTTCAAATTTGATTGTTGTATATTGTAAATTAGTTGAATTAGTAGAAAAGTTAATCCATATGCTTAATTGGGTTTTTTTTTAATTAGTGTATTTTTTTAATTAGTGTATTTTTCATCATTACAATGATAAGATTATAGATTTTGGGTAGTGGGGTCACTGAATTTATTTGAATAAGTAGCTTTATGATCTGGAAAAACTTTGGTTTCAATCAAATGTTTGTCTTTGGTTCGAGTTAGTGGGTGTCAAAAAAGCTAATGTTGCATTCAAAATTCAAAAAAAATGAGGAAATTAAAGTGGATTGTTTATGATTAATTGATTATGTGTCGGCAGTTAAACTACTGTTTTAATGACTGTGACATTGATGATTAAGCCGAATGTTTTAATTCGAGTTTTTATGACTGCGAAACTGATCTTCGATTCGAGTCGAGTAGTGTTGTAGGTTGTGAGTTGATGGTACAAAATGTGCATAAATTTGTGAAGTGAACATTCATAGAATTAGATCTGTAGTTCTTACTTAATGATAAATTCATGAATAGAAGAGTAGATGGTTTGTGTTTGATTTTTCAGGCCATGTGTTAAGTATGAAACTTTGAAGCAATAGCTGGAATTTATTGACTTTGGTTTTTTTGGGTTATAATTATTGGCGATTTTGATCTGTGATTGACTGATAACTGCATTCAAATTCCAGTGAGATGTTTGACTTGGTCATTTGTTTGTTTTTTTGTTATTAATTGTTACTATAGTATTTATCTGACTACTTTGTAGATTTTCATCTAGTATTAGTTGCCTGTGCTTAGAGGGTGCTTCATGTTGTTGTCCTAAACTCTGAATTTAAAGTGCCTGAAAGCCGAATATATATCTTTCATTGCAGGTATGGTGCATGTGTATGTAGCGAAGAGGAAGAGGAAATGGTTGCAGATGGTCCTCTTGATCAACTCTTGGAACATCTACCCAGCATAAAGGATCAAATTGTGAAAGGATCTTGTGATAACTTCATACTAGAGTTGCCAAATTCCGTTGGTGACAGGGGTTGGTTCACAAAAACCACTTTAACCAGGTCTTGATCTATGAAGTTGCTTGTTTACCCTTTTTTGCGCTCTTTGCTCGTGCACTGAGTCCAGTCCAGGGGCTTTGTTTAAAGAATTTATTTTTGTGCAGGTTTCTTCAAATAATCAATTCACCTCATGCCCTTAAGAAATCAATCTCTATCTGTAATGAGTTGTCCCAGTTAGAGGAAACGAGGAAGTTTCATCTTTCATTATACACCCAGGTAATGTATACTGCTTACTTTTTGTCTTTTACCTTGTGGCTGCCACTTGATTCTGATATTAACGTGTGTTGCAATGGCATTGTTTGCCTACAGGCTGATCGGGTTACATCATCAGATAACTCAAAGTAATTAATCTTGACCCCTACTTTTTATTCAGTGTATAATTTTTGCAAATTTGAGTCTGGATTCGGATTATGTTTACTGAAGCATGTATGTGAATGCTACTGCTAGGAATGAATTACTTCGGGCAATGGACTCCAGAATTGCAGCTTTGACAGAAGAATTGGTTTCAACTTTTAATGTAGCAGCTGGAGCTGCATTATCCTATCAAGAGATGAATTGTCTCCAAGAATTTTGTCAATACTTTGGTGATGTAGATGTCAAGTATGTCATATCCCTCTTTAATTATTGCCTCAATAGTGAAAATGCATAAAAATATTTAATTCTCATTTTACTTTGTTTCTGAATATATATTTTTTCAGAACTCTGTTGTTAAAATTGTCAGAGAGAAGCCAAAAAGGTCAGAATGTCCCTGTGAACAATAAGAAGTCTCCTGTCCCAACGATATCAAAGAGTGATTATGAAAACAAGATTAATGCATTTATCCAAACAGCGGGACAAACAAATTCGTTGAAACCTGTACAGTACAATGCATCACCAGCCAAAGCTGCTGAACTTGAGAGGCAAAGTTCAACAGGGAGTGACGACTCGTCTTTCTCAAGTGAGGATGATCGGCCTTCTGCTACTGAAAGAAGTCGAACTCTTGTAAGATCTGCATCTCCGCGAAGATCAGCATCTCCGATGCGAAAGGTCCAAATAGGTAGATCAGGATCTCGTCGGACTCCTGCCCTAACTATTAAGAGCCTTACACACTTTCCTGCCAGAGATAAAACCTCATCTTACAGGGACACTTGTGAAGAGTCTGATGAACCAACTAAAAAGACTGAGATCAACGTGACTAGGATGAGTGTTCAAGATGCTATCAGTTTATTTGAAAGAAAACAGAGAGATCAAACAGATGAGAGTCAGAAAAAAACAGCAACTGATAACTCTACAAACCCAAACAAGGCAGTGTTGAGGAGATGGAGTTCTGGGATGAGTGAGTCTCAAAAGTCCACGACTCAGGACACAATGGAGCATAATGCTTCAGAGAATAATACTGAAGATGAGAATGTTCAAAGGAGTGCAGAAGTGGAATTGGATGCAGTTCTTGATACTGAGGATCAGAATTTGGAGGAGAATATGGGATTAGAGGGGGGCAAAACTATTGCTCTGAGTCCAAGTGAAGATGAAGGCCTAGTGTGTCAGACAGAGGAGACTTTTGAAAAAGTAGATTCAGCTGAATGGAATAGGCAAAAAGAGGAGGAATTGAACAGGATGCTGATGAAATTTGCAGAGTATAGCATGAGCAACCGTAAAATGACAGAGCCAGATAACAAAAAGAATCGTGTATCTCGCTTGGGGCAAAGCGATGGAGCTAACAGTGATCACAAGGGGAAAAAAGATGAAAAAATGACTAGGGAGAAGTCCGGAAAGAGAGTAGAGAAGCAGACTGGCATTAGACCTAAGCAAAGAGTTCCAGAGAAGCCTAAGCCAGAAAAATCCACTGCTAAGGCTAGTGATATAGGAAAGAAACTCCCTGCTAGCAGAACTCTGAGTGCTAACAAAAATTCGCCTGTTTCTTCGAATTCCAAAAAGGAGTCTATAAAACCAGCTGTGCCGAAGAAGGTTGCATCTAGATCATCTTCCTTGCCTGCCACTAGGAAATCATGGCCATCAACGCCGTCACCAAGAATGACTGAAACATTGCCAACTAAAAGTCCGACAATAACAACTTCAGTACCTCGTCAAAAATCCCAATCTCTAGCACCTCGTCAGAAACCCCAATCTCCTGTTCCAGTATCACGTCCTAGCCCAAAGTTGGAAAAGCCTCAATTGCAACAGAAAGATGTCAAGAAACAACAGATTGATACTAAAAAAAACTTGAAGAAAGTGGATGACAGTAAAAGCCGTATGGTGCCAAAAAGCGGGAGATCAATGATAAAAACAATGGCTCCTGAAGAGGATGCTGCTGCTGTCAATCCAGCTAAAGCAGTCGTGCGTAAGAAGGTGACCAAGAAGAGTAGTGTGGTCCCACTTGAGGTGAAGCCATCTGTTCGCAAAGTTTCGGAAAAAAGCCCTGCAAAAATTTTGGAAAAAAGTCCTGCAAAATTTTCGGAAAAAAGCCCTGCAAAATTTTCGGAAAAAAGTCCTACCAAAATTTTGGAAAAAAGCCCTGCAAAAAATTCAGCTAGTCGAAAGAGAGAGATTCTCCCTCAAGCAGAAGAAACTTTGAGCAAATCTGAAGATCCTCTTAATATTGCGGATAATGTTGGGAATGTTACTTTAGATACAGTTCATCTGGAGTCTGAAGATTTGCAGACTCAATATGATCATCTTGAACTTGAAATAGAAACAGAGGCAGAAAAACCTGAAGATGGCGACGAAAAAGAGATTATTGTTGAAGCCCCTCCTCAAGAAGATGGAGTTGTTGACAGAATGTCGGAGTCACCAGCTATAAGTCAGATTCCGTCTGCACAAGAATCACTAATTTCACCAGCTGCATGGGAGGAAAGCAACCCGTCAGATGCGGCTGGCCCAAGTACTGACAGCACTGCTTCATCTCTTCCCAATCCTGATACTGTGGATTCGGGAACCAGAGTTCGTCATTCACTCTCACAGATGCTTCTGGAAGAAACCAGTGAACCTGACATAATTGAGTGGGGAAATGCTGAACATCCACCTTCCATGGTTTACCAAAAAGATGCTCCTAAAGGCTTTAAGAGACTTTTGAAGTTTGCTCGAAAGAATAAAGAAGCTAATGGAGGTACTTGGGCAAGTCCATATACATCTGAAGGAGAGGATGATGGAGATGAATACAAAAACCTTGGTAAGAGAAACTCAGACAATTTGCTGAAGGTTGCTCTCCACTCAAAGAACTACGCAGAAGGATTTTTGTCTGATTCTGAACCACATTCTGGTAGGTCTGCAGTCAAATTATAATTGTCAACAATTTATTTCTCAGTTAAACCTCACAAATGATAGCAATCTCAGTATCTCATGCTTTTAATGGTTTATATCGACAACAAGCTTGGTATACTACTGTTTCTGAAACATTGCTGTTAGTAATTACAATTTTTTTTTTTCTTGTATGTAGCTCGATCAAACACAAGCAACAGCTCTGCTAGAAGTTCAAATAAGTTTCAAGACGGTCATGCCTCTTCGAGAGGTAAGTCATAATCATACTAAAATAATTACTGCTCCTAAGCTGCTTCAACTTTTTGCTAATTTGTCTTTGCTGTTATTTTATTAGGTACAAGATCTTTCTTCTCTCTGTCTGCATTCCGTGGAAAAAATTGAGACATTGCCTTGTGGACTCGAGGGAGACGCCTAATTTTGGGACAATCATTCATTGTGTGGTTTACTCCCCTTTGTATGCTAAATATTTACCTTGTGCAGTTTATTAATTTGTATCAAGCAATGCAGTGTAATGTTTTGATTCAGTGGCATTCTTTGGGGATCTGGATAGGTCCAGGATGTATATGTAAAATGTAGAGCAAGCAACAAGAGCGATTTTCTAGGACATAGAACAGTCTGTGTAGAAATTACATGTTTTCAGTTCAAAGTAACTACCTGAATAGTTTACCCCTTATTCTCATGCAAGGTAATATGTTGCATGTTACAGACCGTATTCTTCGTTTATTATTTTGACTACAACTGATGTTTTTTTAAACCGAAAAGTGTCCTGGCCGAACAGAACAATGCATTGCTCAATCTTGAAAGATGACAGTACTCAAGAGGTAATATGACTAATACCCTGACTTGTGAGGTGCTTGTCCCAGGGGTGGAGCAAGTCCTGAGAACACCATCAACTGGCTCAATCCTCATCCTCTTTATCCTCTCTTCATTTAGACAACTTTCATACCGTGATAATTTTATACTAGTACATAAAAAAGGAATAGCAAAAAAGGAAAAGGAGGAACTTTAATGGCCATTCAAATTTTATAAAATACGTTAAGAGGGATCCTACTAAAATTTATTAAGTGGGTTAATACTTTGTTGGTAATGATATTATTTGGTAGGATTCAAATCCCAAATCTCTACGGTTACTCGGTTAGAGGGTAAAAAACTTAAGTGAGCTAACACTTTGTTGGTAATGATATAAATAAAATAATTACTCCGTTTTTTAAGTGTTCCATAGTGACATGACACGCATGTCAATGCAAAACTTTAACTAATACGGAGTAATATAATATCTTTAACTATAATTAATTATAAATTATAACAATAGAATATTACTCATTGAGATAATTCTAACAAGTATTCATAAAACTGTATTATTCTTATGTATAATTCACAAATAGTCAAATATTGGTCATTATGTTTAGTAAATAGTGCAAAAATTCTCGATAAAACACTAAAAAAACGAAGGGAGTAATTTTGTCAATACTCTTCACAATCTATATTTTATTCTTTTTAGAAAAAAAAAAAAATACTCCTTGCACTATTTTTTCTAAGAATGACCCCACTAATGTACTTTCTCTATTTTTTTTTTTTATAACAATATATATATTTTTAGTTTCATAATCTAGTGGCTACCAACATGAAATTCCTTAATGGCTACCTTCGTAATTTTTGGTTCTATTGTGCCCACCCAAAATGGACATTGGCGCCTTGCTCTTATGCGCATCTTTTTCTGCCTGCCAGTCCTTTCCCTGTACTAGCAAGAAGCAACCCCCTCACCAACATATGTTTATTCTCATTATAAAAAATGTTCGAAAATTACGAATATACCGTGTTAGGGGAAATATATTCCATTCCACTATCAGGTATGTGCCTTAGCTTATCCCACCTTAGTGTAGCTCAAGTTAAAACACTTTGTTAACTCAAATTTTGGGAGATTTGTCTGTCAGATTGTGACAATCTATCACCATCCCGCATTCGATATTCCCAAACCATTTCCTCCCCCATTACCATAGCTGATGCGTTGTGTACTACAGAGTTAAACAATCATCCTACAGCAATTTTAGTTTGTCTGGTGCTTTACAGGCCTACGTAATTCATAGTGTACTATTCACAAATTTACACAAAACTTTAAGTATGCAGATTGCAGACTGCACCGCAATTTAAAAGAAACAGTTTGGATTACTCAACTGATATTCCCATATGAACTAAGGTCATATGCACCAATCTTATCCACGTCTCTCCCCATCTCCGCCCCCAGCATGGGAGAAAAAAAAAAAAAAAAAAAAAAAAAAAAAGATAGCAGGAGCATAAACTGAGTAATCCAGTACTTTCCTATGAGTATGCAATTTGATGTATCACGACTTTCTTCCATCAGCAAGCTTGTGAACCACCTCCCCTTTAAGGTATTTCAGATATGGAAACATCAGCACTGCCTGCTTCCCACAGTAGTTCGAGAATATTGTATCCATCTGACGTACAGTATCTACAGCAGCAGCAGCATCACCCAAAGCTAGCTGAAGTGATGATAGCTTTACAAGCTCATTTCCAACAGCAATGTGACCAGGACTGTAAAGCTTCTTTAGAATCTGTGGGAAGAAAAGTACAGAGGTCAGTTTATTAGAGCTTAGATGATATTCTGATGTCAGGAGCAATTTTATTTTTATGAACACAGTATGAAAAGTAATTTTCACATCGTTCACAAAAACCAAAACTGACAATTACCAAATAGGCCCTAAATCTGTTCCCTCTTGGTCCAATATATGCGCTTTACTTTGCTTAATATAAAATACAAAAACTTTCTACTCAGTATAACATATAGAGCTTCCCAAGGAATTTGCAAACTTCTCAATTGCTTTAGACTATAAAACATTTTGCGAGAAACCTAAGTGGAATAAAAGGTCAAACAAAGTGGCAAGGAAATGTTATATTTACTCTCCGCAGGAAGGAGATTGAGGAGTTATGCAAAAAATGACATTCATGATATTTTATGTTGCAAACCAAGTGATGATTGTCTGCTTGGCCACTAAGTTATTCAAACTCAAAATCACAAGCATGTAAAGGCGCATATAGCTATTCAGCAGAAACAAATACAATAAATACACGAGTGCGCATAGAAAAAGCCTGATAAAAGCAAATTCACCTGAATGGATATTGTACAGTGATCAATTGCTTGTTGCATCTCCCCAACTGAACAAAATGCCTCAGCAAGAATATCTTCAGCCTACAAAAAATCATTTATATAAATTATGTATGACTTTGATGCTGTTGTATTCGCAGCAAACTATATACAAGCAAATTTCCTATTTATCTGCAAATATCCTTATTGCACAAACTAAGCATGAGTTGTAATGGGCAAGAGGTGAAGTAAATGATTCTCTATTAATATTTAATCCTACCGTATCCCCCCTTTAATCAGGATTCCAAAACAGTAAGGTCAGGTCAGGCCAGAATGGTTTCTAAATCAAACCATGCAATTTAGTAGTAGAGAGACCCTTAGTACAAGGGCAGGATCAGTTGAGGCATTCTCTAGAGATAAAGCAGTAAATCTTACCTCCGCAAGTTTCTTGTTATATGAATGAAGCGCAGATTTCAGATCATTAAGGGAACTCAAAGCATTTGACAAGAGACCAGCAGAAACATCATTTGAATTAACAGCTTCCTGCAAACTAGAAACCCACACCCCAAAGATTACATTTGTGGATAGTCAGAAAAAAGCGGATAGTTTTAAAACTTGTACTACAAGCCTACAAGGCATCGCTTCCCTCTCACTTAAGGTTATACCTTCGAAAATATGTATCAGCTTCATCAGCTGTTGCACGCAGATACTTCAGGTCATTAGGGGAACCACATTTCAGGCAACATCCAGACTGAATCTCAGGGCAGTGATTACTATGTTCAAATATGAGGCAAGCAACGTTCTTAATCTCATCATGCATCAACTTTTCAACCTTCATATAAAGGTCAAACAAAAGAATTAGAAATTCTGCAAGCAACTAGTAATAGTAGCATGGTCCAATGTATAGCATATCAAACTGTCAGAGAAAGTGATGACAATATTCCCTAAGAAGTGAAGCACACTATACGACATTGGTATTTTGATCCATAAGATACCATTAAGTTACAATTTTACTAAATCTTGAAAAAAATTACACAAACTGTGAAGAAGTTGAAACTACAGGCTTTCCTACTTAAGAACTTAATTGGGCCCACAGGTGATGATGAACATATACTTGGTTAATTTGTTGAATGAGGACAGTTTTTTTGTCTCAGTTTCCAGAAATCTCCATGTTAAACAAAGGGCTAATTGTTTTTTTTTACGAAGTCAACATGATTCCAAGCCTTTGAGTTCAAATTCCAGACTAGTCCATTCTGTAACTTTGAACTACAAGTTTGGCAGTACATCAAGCTGGTCAACACCTTTTGGACATTTTTGTGTTTTATTCTCATCGACATTTAATTGCATAGATAATTTTCATCATTCAACAAGACAACATTCAATGTTTCATACTTTTATGGATCTTCCACATACCTCTCGTTGATGCTCCGTACTGTGATCTTTAGGCGTCTCTTGTAAATGATAATATTTATGTTTTTCATACTCCACCATAGTGTCATCAAGAACCACACCAAAGCAATTAACTTTAGCACACCGGAAAGCATTTAAGACAAGATCTGGAAGATTAGCTCTAGTACAACCATTGCATTGACACTTAAATGTATATCTGTCAAGTAAAAATTGCTGTCGGTTTCTGTAATCCCACTGCCCAACCTGCAAACATGTGTTGCAATCAGTTATTACAAAAAGAGGTAAATATTGAAAGAATATATATCTCTATAAGCAGAGAAACCACAAGCTTTTGCAATACTGCATGAAAGAAAACAAGAACCTAGAGTTTCTAAGAGGACATATAAATCAAAGCATAATGTCAACAAGCAGTCTGAGTGTATCCAAAAAAGGATGAGAAAAATAGTACCTGTGGTCCATAAGACATCTCCAATGGACATCCACTGGGCACATATTCTGTGGCCCTAATCAAAAGTGTACGAGAAATGAAGTACGCATGGACATTAGGCATGCAGGAATGGTTGAACACACTGCCAGATAGGTATATTCCTTGCCCAACTCTCGCCTAAGATTTAAGAACGAATGGTACAGCCAGATTAGTATCAAATTCATTAGTTTCATATAAATAAAGAATGAATTTGGTTTTGCGTGGATAGTGTACTCCAATATACACAAACGATAAAAAAAACACATAGAAAATGGTCTCTCCTCATACAACCCTCTTCCTCAAATATTTACCATTGTATGGGGAAGGTTATACATGATATACCCAGCCAAAAAAAAAAAAACCTGTTATTGATTTGTTAAGTGCTTTTATATGAAAAAATTCCTAAACTTCAAATTGGTGAAAGAAAATTAGACAAAAGATTGTGCCTATAAATACCTATGAACATTATTACCTATTCACAATAGTTATTCAACTATTTTAAAATTGTTGTACATTTGATCTATAAAATAACAGCGACTAAATGGGTCAAAGGAGAGTCAGATTCCAGCTATAAACTCGATTAGGATTAGGGTTTTAATTCCTACCTGTTAAATAAATGAAATTGGAGGCTTTCCATCCTTGTTTACTATTGACACGCACAGGAACACAAACCTCACTTAACAACTGACACAAGTTATTTGCCAGCTCTATCTTTCTGCTTTGCATAAATACTTTAACTCTACACGACTACAAGCCTACAGCCCTACATTACCAAAGTTGGCAATATAGTTACAGTCAAAAGAAAAATGCTTGACAGGTGGAAATGAAACTATGAAAGTAAGATGAGATTAGATGTAAAATAATATATAAGCCTCAAAATTTACATGATTGATCCTTGCAGCATTCAAAATATTGGCCACAACCCATAAAATTAAGTGTTGACACTTGACACCCCATTTTTAAATTTCTGAATCTTCCATAGTTATCAATATCTTCAATGTTCAAATCAAATGATGGAACATGTCAGGTAACTTAAAATATACTTGTGAAAATGAAAACAACACCTGCTCAAAATTGCTTGTCATGCTATCTCCAGGTAAGGACAAATTTCCTGATTGCTTCGATGGATTAGATACATCTGAAGATTTCATACGAACAATTGCCATGGAATTGACTTTTATTTGAGAAATAAGAATGATGACCTGCAAAAGCATTGGGGCTGTTAAAGTCTTTGACTACGCATACAACAAAGAAAATATAAAGAAATTCAAATCCGTTCAGACAAACAATTGACTTGCATTGATATTGCTATCATTCCATTATCACATTTCAAATTTTCCAAGTAAACAAAGATATGGCTTCAGTTCAAAGAGAAATTAAAATAAATTCCACTTTTATGTTCATTCAACTATTCAAGACAGAAAGCTTATGTTGTCAAATTTCAGAATTCTCATTCTCGGTATTCCAAGGATCAATGAAGGTTCAAAAACAAGGATAGAAATGGTGTTAATCCTAATTACAAGTAGACATGATCTTTCTCAGCAACTCGTAATTCTTGCCACATTCACAAAATAAGTAATCAACCGATACATAGAAGCTTATGCGTTAAGGCAACACACAACTTATATGGCTTTAAGTTCATGCATATACATAGTTTCTTAGCAGTTGGGGAAGGAAGGGGTGGGGTTGCTTTAAGAGATAGATACAGACCTTTGCAAAAATAGCTCCTTGCAGCTTGAATTTAGATCTATAATACGAGTGAAGGCAGTAAAGCAGCACGATTGAGTATACATGCAACTCCACTTTGCTTTCTGGAGGGAGATGTACATAATGATGAAAAAGGTCCTGTTTAAAAGGTGAGCTGACATCACATACCAAACCTTTTATCATGCAGGTTAAACAAGAATAAATCAAAGAAATAAAGCGTTTACAAGACAAGTTGAGTGGATACCAAATCTTTTGAATCCTCTTTTAGTTCTACCAACTTCATCATAATCCGACCAGCTAATACCACCTGGGTTGGCAACACAACAGGCCAATTCACACCACGACATTCATGTCCATGTTCAGTAAAGCACTCTATGCCTGGATCCAAATGACTATCTGAAGTCACCTTTAGGAAGTATTTGAAAGAGTCACCAGAAAGAATATCATCACTTTCATTGTTTGTTACACGTTTCCTTAATACCTGTCCTCCTGACTGAAGTTGGCAACGATCAGAGCAGTACAGTGGTATTGAGCATGATGTACAGGGAATATTGTCTGCTGGTAGTTCACTGAAACAAAAATGACAATGTGTCTCTGAAGTTCTTCAATATGATCTGTGAAACGTGCATATCAGACAATTTTTAACAGAATATAAACAGCAACCCCTTCCCATCGTACTCCAATCCTACATACATAAATAAGTGAAACGTTTTGACTTTTTGCGCTATACATCTAATTCACTTTGACGAATGTTTGTGATTTATACGTAAGAATAAATATAGTCTTGAGGGTAATTGTTGGAATCGTCACAATGAAAAATTTATTAATATTCAATTGTTATACTTTTTACTTATTGATAATTAAAGATATTATCAGCCAAAGTTTTGCATTCGCATACGTGCACAAGAGAAACATTCACTAATTTAGATACGGAGGGAGTATACATTAACAATTAAGTATTAAGTGGTAACAGGAATCAACAATGAAAAAATCTTAATGGTTATCTATTAGGATGAAAAAATTCTTCATCATTCCTTCTACTGATGATTTTGTATCAAACGAGACCTAGAGCCATGAGGAGTTGGATAGGTAAAAAATTTATTAAAAAAATAACAAGAAAAAAAAAAGAGCTTTGCATTTACACATGTCGCAATAAAAATGTTTGAGACATAACAAAAAAGGAGGCTAAAAGAACCTTCTAATGCAAAACAGATCTATACCGCAGCATAAGGCTCTTCCTTATGAACTAAAGTAGCCGGAGATATCTCAAACAGTGAAGTCATGCCTCTCCCTTTGGTTGGAGTAGATACACGTTGCAACTTCACCGGCGGCATCTCATCTATAGAGAAAAAAAATGGCCTCACAACTCAAGAGATGACAAATTCTAAATTGACAAATCAATAAAATGAAACATGCTAGCTTGAAGCAGTAAATTCAGAACAAAAAAATATGAGAAGCATAACTCGAAATTCCTAGCTCGAGAAGATCAAACTTTATAATCCCAAGAAAGTATGTTATGGGGTGTTAGGCTACTTTTATATTTTTAATAAGAAATTTATATTACACCTACTTTTATAGGACAAGAATACAAGATGTCCTACTAGACTAGCAAATAATTCTGGATAAACCTATTTCCTTAATATTTCAGATATTATAATTAGTCCCTATAAAGAACGAATACATTCAAAGAACTGAAAAAAGTCTCATGATAAAATACACAAATTCTGCTCTAACCAAGTGTGGAGCACATTATAAATTTACCAAGCTAATCTTGGTCTAGTGGAAAGGATAGCACCTTCCAACCTTGAGGCTGGAGGTTCAATCCCCACCAGGGGCACTTTGAAGGTGGGAATCCCTTACCTTTCCCAGTCACTTTCAAAGTGTAACCAGCAAATACTGGAGAAAAAAACACGTGAGGTTTGAGGCCTGGTCAGCTTAAAAAAAAAAAAAAAAAAAGGTACATGGGAAATGTAACATGAAAACTACCCGTCAACATTCCTTATCTTTGGACCCTAGTCCCTGCAATGGAAAAGAGGTATACCAAGACTCCTTACACAACCAGTGTCTGAAAAGGCACCAGGCACACTAAATCACTTAGGCAAAGGAGTGAAAATGTTTACTGGCTATACTTCGAATCACTTATCTATACAAGCTTTAATGTGCCAGTCATGCACAATACTGATTTCTGAAAGATAAATGCCAATTAAAAGCTTAAAAAACAGAAAACAGAAGTAAAACAAATGGAAATGTGAATGGCATTAGAAACCCTCACCAATAACAAGCTGCTCTTGCCTGCTGAGCTCTTGAAAGGGATTTTCAGCCTCCTTTTTGTTTTCCTTTTCCATTAACTTCAGATCATTTTGTATTTGTCTCTTTCCACTTAAAGTTCCTTCAAAGTCCAAGGCTACCTTCAAGTCACAGATCGCATCTTCATAATTTAACAAAGAAGTGTTGACCTTGCCTCTCCTGTACCAAGCCTACAAATATTCAGATATAACTATAATCAATGAAGTGAATCTGATTCCAGGTCCACCATTGATTAAGGCCTTCAAGCCTCATGCCTATGCAAATGAAGGACTAAAAGAAGAGTGCAAACACAGAAGAACACAAAACCAAATGCGATTTTGTCATAGATTTCCAGCTTATCATCATTTTGAAAAGTATATTAATTAAATGCTATCCATAAGCCTTAGGGCAACGATTAGAAAAATCCAATAAACAAAAAAAAAAAAAAACATAACTACAACTTCAGCAAACTTACAAAAGGTGTTGGGTAGGAGAGATAAGCAGTCTAGAATAACATCAGATCTTTGACCGCAGAGAGAAAGGATTGTTAATTATCAATTATTTCTTCTCATTTACATAGTCTAACATAAAAATATTTTTCACGAAATTATTCTAACCGCTAAATTGTAATATCTCTTGTCTAACAAAATTCAAGCAAAACACTTTGTAATATTAAAATTAGGGGGAAAGAACAGGCATCAATAAAAATAGGCTGAAAACTCCAGTAGCTATACAACAACAAAGCCTTAGTCCCAAAATGATTTGGGGTCGGCTAACATGAATCGTCATAAGGAATCGTATGATACAAAGAAAAAGACATAACAAAATCATCATTTAAAAGAGTTTGTAAAAAGTTGAGTAAAGTGAGTAAAAGAATGAGCATTTCAGAAAAAAAAATTAAGGGAGTTATAAAGAGAACCAAAAATAAAATTCAAGAAAGATTTAAAAGAGTGGTTTAAACGTTGAAGTAGAAAATATACAGGTTTGAGAAAACTTTAGTAAAGGAAAACAATACAGTTCATAAAACATTGGTGGGCTAAAAATAAAATTAAATACAAAAAAAAAATTAGAAAGTATATATAATCATGACACATCGTTGACGCAAACTTTCTCCCTCCACACCGCCATATCCAGCACCATATTTTCTTTAATCCCCAAAGCACTCATGTCACTCTCAATCACGCTCCTCCAAGTTTTCTTAGGTCTTCCCCTACCTCTCACGATCCCAACACTTTGCAATTATTCAAGCCTCCTTACAGAATCGTCACTTGGTCTTCTTTTTACATGGTCAAACCATCTTAAGCGATTCTCCCTAATCTTGTACTCAATCAATGTAACCCCTACTTTCTTCCTTATTATCTCATTACTGAACTGATCCTTTTTGTATGACCACACATCCATCGCAACATGCACATCTACGCCACATTCATCTTATGCACGTGGCAAGCTTTATAGCCCAACATTTTGTATCATATAGCAAAGCAGGCTTTATTGCCGTTCGATAGAATTTTTCCTTTAATCTATGGGGTACGCCTAGATCACATAAAAAACCCGTCATACTCTTCCACTTCAACTTACCTGCTTTGATCCTATGAGCTACATCTTTGTCCAATTCTCCATCCTTTTGAATAATAGATCCCAGATATATGAAGTACTCACAACTTTAAACACTCTTCCCATCCAAGGTGATCACCCCAACCTCATTGTTTCTCAGTTCTCACATCGCTAAACTTACATCCTAAATACTCCGTCTTACTTCTGCTCACCTTCAATCCACGAGACTCCAAAGTTCGTCTCCATAATTCCAACTTACTTTCCACGCTTATTTCGTCTCGTTAATCAACACAATATTATCAGCAAACATCATGCACCATGGTATATCATCTTGAATTGAACTCGTCAATTCATCCATGACTATAGCAAAAAGAAAATGACCAAGTGTAGAACCTTGATGAACTGCAATAGTAATTGGGAAGACTCACACTTGTGTTAACTCCCTCATACATGTCCTTAATGATGACAATATATTTCCGCGAAAAGCCTTTCTTTGTTAAAACCCACCAAAGAATCTCCCTTTGTAGTTTATCATAAGTCTTCTTCAAATCAATAAAAACCATATGTAAATCCTTCTTCTTATCATGATAAATCTCCATTAGATGTCTTATAAGATGGATTGCCTCTACAGTCAATCCAGGCATAAATCCAAATTGGTTTTCCAAGATCTTCACACTTTAAGGCATAAAAACTCTAATAGCTATATGAAAGCAAATTTATGCTCTACCCAAAAAGGAATTTATGTTTGCAAGGGAACACTTTTGAAGTTGCATAAGCAAGGCAAGAAACTAATTAGCAAGATGTAAAACATAAATCCAGGGGCATACATCTCATAGAAAATTAAACTTTATAACCATACACTTGCAAATAATAAAATATGGTAAGTGCAGACTCACTTCTCATAAACAAACAACTTCTCCCACCCTTTCTCTCCCCAAGGCCTTAACTCCAAAGTATACACAGGAAAAAATTATAAGAATAATCAAATAAGCACTCACTTCCATTTATAAGTAAACTTTGCAAACATGCTAATGCTAAATTGAAAGTATCCTCTTTCCATTTTGTTCTCTTATAAGTTTTGATTACTTACGTAACATGGAAGCAGAGGAGGATCATAGTCTAATTCATCGAGGATGATAATGACGAGGATTGTACGATCTTAGTATATATTCTATTCAGATAATGACAAGAATGTATCACAATCACTGCATAATTACTCATTTCACATTACAGCAAACTTCCTGTGAAGCACTACCTAGTTTGTGTTATGCCTGAACCTCACACTAAGCCAATAATTAATTCTAAATGAAGCAATTTCTCTGTTTAAGCAATCCATTAATTAACTTACTCTTTTATGTGTAGCAGATTAAGCAACTTGAATTAATGGATTGCTTAATCAGAGAAATTGCAAATTGAAGAATGTTAGCAATTCCAAACGGTACAGAATGAATTGAAGAATGTATAGCAATATATAACTTCATCTTTCACAACCATATAAAAGTAAAATTTAACTCTAAGTTAACATCCCAGAAAACATTCTATGAAGGTGTCTGTATGAAATATATACACAGAAAGAGAAGTTGTTCCTATTGAGATTATTTATAAAACAGAACTTGTGTAATTAATTACAGATGGCATAATTGCATCACTCATGTGCTACAAAATTGACAATAAACACTGAAATAAATTCGAAGTGAATAAACAGTCAATCATGCTGAACTCTTCAAAAACATGAGAAAAAAAACAAAGGCTTTCAAGTGAGATATCTAGAGACAGCAAGCATAACAAAGGTAAAAGTTTTCACCTTGGCGTATCTTTGACTAATTGAAAGAGCTCGATTGCAATCTCGTAGGGACTCCTCCAAAAGACTCATTTTCTGGGGATAACAGGCAAATTCAAAAAATTTATTGTTTGCATAATTGACAGTATTTTCAGAAATAAGAAAATATATATTGTAGAAGGAAAAGGAAGGGCAAAAATAGAGCAAGCAATGACGTTATGTTACATTAACCTTTCTCTATCTGGCTATTGAGACATCCTTGTCCCAATTCCATTAATTGTTTAACCACCTCCCTCGGCCTCCCACAAAAGAAAGGCATAGGAGTTTCTTACTGCAAAATAGATAAGCGTTGACTTAGTACCATGTTGCACACTCCTTCAGTCAAAAACAATTTTCTAAAATATTCCCCCTTAGTGGGAAACAGGGAAGCATAAGCTATATAGGTTCAGCAATTGATGATTCTGAACAAGACAGCTTAGACTCAACTAAACTACTTAGTTCTTCAATGCTGACGTGAAATTCTACCGATGAAGGGCCCATTGGTAGCCCAATTGGTATGATTGGTCATGGTTGCTGGAAGGGACAAGGTTAAAAATAGAAGTTTTGGGAGTTCTTTTCCTAATTTCTTTCAAAATTTCAATTTACCTTATTATCTTGTAGATATTCTATCTTAATTTGCTTTAGAATGGAGGCAATAATAATTCTTAAACTCCATTTCAAATGGTTCAAGTATCGCTTCTCACTAAAGCTGACTTAATACCACTAGAAACTTCTTCCGTTCCTTTAGCATTGCAACAATTAAGTTTTTATGCATCCCAACGCACAACTTTATTACCCGTTAATATCTTTGTTACCTATGAGTAATAAATATAAAAAAAATTAGATAAATTTAAGTGAATACATCAAAACAAATCCAAAAAACCTCACATGACTTTTTCTTCCCTGACGTTAATTTACAATCAATGATCAAAGAGTAGTAAGTAAATGTGTAAATACTCAATTTTTGCAATAATGTAAGAATGAAGGAAGCAGTTGCCAGGATTGAAATCAAATGTAATCTTTTGTAGGTAGTTCAAAGCAATGAACAATTAAACATAGTATATCCATCTTAAAAACATGATTAAGAGCACACTAACACTATCAGTAACTAAAAAACATCTTTTGTACGTAGCATATGCCAGGATTGAAATCAAATGTAAGCTCCAAGGAACTGCAATGCACTCAGTTCTCATGAAAATGATAACTTATCAAGGAATGAAACACGGAAAAGTATAATCAGTTACACTCACATGAAAAGAAGAAGCCCGATTCACAAACAAAGCTGCAACCAACTCGTTGCCTTTGTCTAAAACATCAACTGGAGCAACACGTAAAGCCTATAATTCACATTAACAAAAAAATTGAGTTAACAATACACAAACTATAGAAGCTATCAGCGATTTAAAAAAAAAAAAAAAAAAAAAAAACCTAGCTTTTCACTCAGATACTTTCTCCATATAAAGTATTAAATTTTCAAGAAAGAGGATTCCAGCATAATTACGCTTGGTTTAACTTCTGAAATACAATGTCGCATACTCATATTTAACCATACTGAATCCATACTCCTATTCATAAATAAGTAAATTTTTTTATTATCACGTCAATCTTTGACCACTAATCAAATGAAAAAAATTAACTCAATGAATGACATGAAAATATCAACAATGAAGTGTTTAACTTTTACGTACGCAATGTACATAAAAATAATGCATAACCAACAATCAATTTGACATTGTCATACAATTAAAAAGAGGGGCTAGTATAGTAGTAGCCACACACAAAACATTTTTGTCCAGTCAGTTCACTGATTTACAATTCAAAGTCTCACATAAATGCATATATGTAATCAATTCCAACATCAAGATCCAATCAATCTTGGGAGGGTTTGGCATGTCCATGGGTAGGGTCTAAAAACATTGGACCTAGATCTTTACCCAACCGAATACCACATAGACCCTTACCTTACCCAGATCCATTGGGTCTAAGACCCATATCCTTATTTTGGGGTAGAGTTCTAGGTCCACTGCCTTTTAGTCCCTTGTTTCTATAAATGTGAATTCATTTTTTTTTTCCCCACTATCTCCAAGATAAACCTTTGGTTATTTATATCTTTAATGATACATTAACAAAATAACTTTTAAAAAAATTTACTAAAATCCGAAAATCATTGATGCCCTTCTATAACATTTTGCATGTAAAATGCTACATACAAGTACTAATTAGAAACCCTCAATTTATAGCTTCTAGTTCATTTAAACTTTGCTAATGAAATAACTTCACTGCAATCTAAACTCAAGATCAAAGCTAGCTTCAACACTCATCAAAATCAAGCAATCAAGCACACCCCCAACTTAAATGTCTGAAAATTCTTATGCACACCCAAATGTATCTAAAAATAGGTGCACCCAAGAGTTTGTTTTTTCTATCTGATGATTTTTGCTCATACTAAAAATTTCAAATGAGCCTAGCAAAGTTAGTCATGGTTTATGGTGTATCTACTAGCTAGTGGCTACCTCTATGTGCACTACATAAGACAGATACTATAATAATTATGATCAAAGGGTATGATAAATTTAATTTCCTAAAAACAAAAACAAAAAGGGAAAAAAATTGTTACTTGAGAATAGAAATGAGCAGCTTGGGAGTAATCTGAGCAAGAAAAGCAAGCATTTCCCTTATTCTTCAACTCCAAAGCAGTCTCCTTGTTCTTGGCACAAAACCCCAGTTCAGGATTTGTCAAATCCTCAACCATCTTCAACAACATTTCAAACCCAATATAAATTTCGGTTATAAATGGCAGAAATAATAATGAATTTATATATTAAAATCAATTAACATTTCATAAGAAGCACTTAATAATACAGAAAAAAGAGGGATGAAGAATTCTTACTGAGTGAAAAAGGGAAGAATTAGCGAAGAAATCATGAAGGGATGAAGTAGTTGAAGGAAGATCTTTGGTAGTACTTTGTTCTATCTTTCTCTTAATCTCCAATGGTATTATTGACTTCAATTTTTCCATGGATTCTGCTCTCTTTCTCTCTGATTCCCTGAAAGTTACTACGGTTTTTTTTTTCTTGGTTTCAGTTATCAGGGGAGCAAAGAATTTCGGGGCCGGTGTGAATTTTTTAGGAAAAATTGTAGTATTTGTTACCTGCAGGAGAACTGTGTCACATGTGCTCTGTTTATTTTATTTTTTGTTTTTTATTTCATTTTTTTTAAAAAAAATTTGCCACCACCCAAATCTCTAAAGTATTTCACTACCAATTGACTTACATTGTTACTATTTTCGTTATTTGGGTTTAGTCACCGTTCAACCACCTTGCAGCCACCCCTCCCCCTCACTACCACCCACTCTCCCCCCTGCCGGCCTTCCCTTTCCCCCACCCTACGCAGCCAACCCCTCTTCCCTTTTCCCGTTCTTGCTGCCCCAACCCCCACCCCGAACCAAAACCACCCCCTTTCCCCTTCCCCCGACCAAAATCCGCCCCCCACCGAAATCGACCCCCCTCCCCTTCCCCTACCCTTTACAGCCTTCCCTAACCCTTAAACACCACCCCCAAAATCACCCAAAACAAATTTAGGGTTTCGCTTATGGTGATTTTGGGGTGGTGGTTTAGAATTAGGGATGGCCGAAAAGGGTAGGGGAATGGTAGGGGGTCTATTTCGGTGGGGGGAATGGGGTTGGGGGCGGATTTCGGTGGGGGAATGGGAAAGGGGAGTGGTTTTGGTACGGGGTGGGGGTTGGGGAAGCAAGAACGGGGAAAGGGAAGGGGGGGCTGCGTAGGGTGGGGGAAAGGGAGGGGGGTGGGTTCACGCCGATGCCGCCCAACGCTCTGGGCGTTGGCCGCCGGCAGGGGGAAGGGGTGGCTGGGTTACTTTTTTTTTTTTAATAAACTTAACGAATTCCGTTAAGTGGTAACGAAATTTTAATTATTTGATTTTAGGTGGTAGCAAAATAAAATAACAAAATTAAACAGGTAGCGAACAAATGTAACACAAGGTACTTTCGCCGGTAATTAATGTCAATTTTTTCATTTTTTTTAAATTGGACATTTTTTATTATTCAAAGATTTAAAAAATAAAATTAAATCTTCATATATCATTCTTCAAAAATAAAAAACTTGTCAATATATCATGAATCTCATTATACGTAATATGTAAGTATAAATTAACATATTTATTAATAAAAAAAAAGCTTCGCAAATTTAACATGTTTTGACCAAAATTCATCATTCAAAATGACTGGTAGTGTTTTTTTTTTTTTTTTTTGGGGCATAATGTTCCGTACTGAATTTTGGAAAATAGATATTGAATTATTTTGTGGAAGAAGAAAAAAAAAAGATTATATGAGGATGAAAAAAGAACTAGTACTTCTAATGTCCTACGCATGAGATTAAAGAGGAGAGAGAGACAAAGAATAAATTGAACTAAGCATTTATTATTAAAAAAAAAAAAAGTTTCATAACAAGAATTGAACTCCCGACTTTCTTTAAAAAGCCCAACTGTCTTTACCACTAAACCAGAGAAAAACTTACTTAATAACTTATTCACAGTAACTTTATTATATTTTGGGGCCCTGTTATTTTAGGGCCCCTGTGTAGTCGCCCAAGTTGCGCCGTGCCAGTGTTGCCCCTGTTGATTATCAATGAGAAAGTATTTCCTAGTTACTAACCAAATAGAGATTTTTCAAAGAACTTCACTTCTGCTAATAAAGAACTAATAGAAGTGAGTATGTTGCAATTAAAAGCTAACGGAATAATTATGTGACTTGACTGGCTGACTCTGAGTAGAAATAGGAGGGTATTGTACCATTTAATTATCAAGTAGATAAATCAAGTCTTTCTCGGATATTAAGGGTTTGTGTGGCTTGAAACAAAAATAAAAAATAAAAAGTTAGGGGAATTGGTTTAATGAATAATTTACTCAAAAAGAGCTAGTCATGGGTTAGGCCATGGCTAAAAAAGTTGGTCTATTGCCAAGGCTTTGTGTCGTATCTAAGTTCGGGTTAAAAACTGTGTTTAAACTTGCTATTTCGGGCCGAAATTCAGTCTAAACTATATTTTTAACTAAAAGTTAAATTTTGAGCGGCTCAAAACCCCAAAAAAAAAAATCGGAACTAGAAAGGCTGCCCAAAGTTACCAATTTTCAAGGAAGGCTACATTTGATCATGTTTGACTCAAAAAGTAATAATGGAGAAAGTAAATTACTAAGAGATAGGAAATAAATTACCAAAACCCCTTGATTAATCAAATTTCATTGTTGACTAAATAAGTTAAATAAATTCCTAAGAATTTTGTGATGGAAACCAAGCTACTTTCCTAAATACAGCTTCATAGGAATTTAATTTCCATATTAACCAAACAAGCATTGAAATAGATCTAGGGAAGAAGGGTTAATTGTGAATTTTTGAGTTATTTTGAATAATCTTCACGGCACATTTTATTTCGGTAAAAGAATAATTCTAACGTTCTTTGGGTTGATAGACAGAAAATTGATAATTGTGGAAAAGTAAACTATCGAACTATATTTAGTTAAGAAGTATGGAGTATGTGTTACTAGAAATTACTAAAATCCATTGTTTGGATGTTTTCAGAAGAGAGTTCAGTTTTTCTCGGGTTTAGGACCAACTTGGAAAGAAAACTATGAAAAATAAAGGTAACAATGTATGTATGTGGATATTCTTTGGGGAAAGAAAAATACTTTTCCCACTGTCTCCTCTATTAAATGAATGAACACAACAAAATTAAGGAATCCATGTGTATGGAATTAACCACTAGCATATGGCCGAATAAACATGATGGAATCCATTTGAATTGGCACTTTGGTTCTTACTCTCACTTCTCAATATATTTGACTAGATACTAACTGTAGGAAATAATTTCAAGCTTTAATCCCACTAGCTTAAACCCCACTGTGATCATAAACTAAAGTACGGTGGCGTCCAAAAGGGAAGAAGATAGAGCAAAAGAGTCGCCAACAAGATTTAGGAACTTGTAAACCGTTCACGAGGTGAAGGTTACACCCCTTAATGATCCAAGAGATCGTCAACTCCATAAGGTCTAGAACCAAATAAGGGTTCGGGGATGAAGGTACAAATCCAACCTAAAAGAGATTGAACCTGCCCTAATAATAGGTCTCTACTTTATTCTGATCGTATTCATGTGCGCTTTCTGACTAACATGCAATCAATAGGATTAACCCTAAACCTGTTTATCTATGTTGGTTGAATATAATGCACAAATAAATCTATTATTGGCGATCACTTGAAATTATAATCATAATTAACCCTAAATAAGATTATTAATTATCTTATTAAGCGTGATTACAAGTACAAATTCCCTTTAAGCATGCAATAAAAAGCGTGATCAAGCAATAAAAATAAATAGCATCAAGCAACATAATAATAAACAATATCATGAATAATTATAATAATCATAATAATAATAATAACATCATAGATAAAATAATCATCATCAAAATAATAATCATCATAAATTATAATCACGTTCATGTTAATATTAAAGCATAATAAAAATAGCACTAGTAGAAAAAAAGCATTAGGCACCCCCCATATGGCACCGGTTCAGCCTAAACCGGTGCCCAAAACCGGTCTAGAATTGGGCGGGTTTTTACCAAAAGAGAAAAGGCACCGGTTCAGCCTGAACCGGTGCCAAAAATAAAAAAGGCACCGGTTTGAACCGGTGCCATTCAAACCGGTGCCAAATTCAAAAAAAAAAAAAAACTGCGTCTTTTCCTCTTTTCTTCCTCTCTTTCTCTTTCCTTCCCTTCATTCATTCATCCCTTCTTTCGTTCTCACTTAGAGTATTTGAAGTCGTGCCTCCACCTTTTCCCTCCACCACAGCCGCCACCTTCACCGGCGCTTTCAGGTGTCGAAAACCACCGCCATGAATTCTCCCTGCCCTGCCCTTCTCTGTCTTCCACGGCCGGCCTCCACCGCCTTTCTCTGTGCGAAACAAATAACAACAGCAGCAGCGCGCACCGCCTCCACCTCCTGTCGACCTCCACCGGCGAGGGTCTTTTCATTCTCTCATCCCCTTAGCTTCTTCCACCTCCAACTAATTTAGGGTAAGTTCGTCTTTTCAAGTTAATGGGTTCATCTTATTTTAGATTAAAATTGTGCTTAGATTGTATATGAAATGCGAAGAAAATTAATGGGTTCATCTTATTTTAGATTAAAATTGTGCTACATTGTTGGGATTAAAATTGTATGTTTGTGCTACATTGTTGGCTGTGAAATTTGTTTATGATGCCTTGTTTTGGGGAGTTTGGTTTTTGATAATTGAATCAGTTTAAGGATTTATTACTGAATTTTGTTGCTTGGATTCGATTTCAGCTGAATTCTGGCAAAGTTCTTGCTGTTGGACCTGGCCTTCGTGACATGACGGGGAATCATATTCCTGTTGCTGTCAAAGAAGGGGATACCGTGAATACGGAGGAACTACAGTGAAGCTTGGTGAAAAAGAGTGAGTTTATTTTTCTCCATGCACTTTTCTTTTTGTTCCAGATGGTGATTTCTTAGTCAAATTATTGTGATTGAATGCTTTGACTCTTGATCCTCGATTGAATATATTAGTAATTTTGCATTACCTTGTTCCTTAGTTGAGTTTTTGTATGTTTTAATGTGTATATTAGTGACCTTGCTTCTAACTAGTTGTGAATAAATTAGAAAATTGTGAATAAATTAGAGAATTGTGATTACATTATAGATTTGTGAATAATTTAGAGAATTGTGATTAAATTAGAGAATTGTGCATAAATTAGAGAAATAGTGATATTGCCACTTAATTAGTTGTGAATAAATTAGAGAATTGCATATTACTTGCCTATTTTCTTCATTTCTCAACTTATAAACTCCTTGCATCTCAAAACAACTCATAATCACATATTTATAAGTGATTGTCATTTCAAATTACATAAAAATCGCCAAGTTCTAAGTTTTTGGGTCCAATTCATCAAAATAAAGCCATTTTGAGCCGAAATGGCTACTCACTTGACTATTTTCTTCATTTTTCAACTTATAAACTCCTTGCATCTCAAAACAACTCATAATCACATATTTATAAGTGTTTGTCATTTGAAATTACATAAAAATCGCCAAGTTCTAAGTTTTTGGGTCCAATTCATCAAAATAAAGCCATTTTGAGCCGAAATGGCTACTCACTCGACTATTTTCTTCATTTCTCAACTTATAAACTCCTAGCATCTCAAAAAAACTCATAATCACATATTTATAAGTGTTTGTCATTTGAAATTACATAAAAATCGCCAAGTTCTAAGTTTTTGGGTCCAATTCATGAAAATAAAGCCATTTTGAGCCGAAATGGCTACTCACTTGACTATTTTCTTCATTTCTCAACTTATAAACTCCTTGCATCTCAAAACAACTCATAATCACATATTTA